GACGGGAGATCGTTCAACACCACCTGTTGCATTTTGAGCCACGTCTGAGTAACAGCCCAACAATGAGCACCTTGCTCTCGGTAGTCCGCTCCACGCGCGCGTGCCGCCCTCGTGAAAAATAGTGTGAAATTATGTGTGGATTTTCACGCTAGGCGTGATTTTCACACTTCGTAAGCTTTCCGCAGCCAATCAGGGATCGAATTTCATCACGCAGGGAGTGAAAATCAGGCCTGGTGTAAGAATCATGCGGAAAACTACGTGTCTTTAGGTTACGCGCCGCCCACGCGAAAAATTGTGTGCAGTTATAAATTAAGAGGTTCATTATGCAAAAAGACACCATGCAAAAAGACACATCAACTAAATTACTCAAAAAAACAGTAATTTACTGAAATTTACCTAGGTTTTTTACTTTGAGCCAAAATTACCGGTAATTCTCGAACCCTAGGTATGAGAAACTCTCAGATCAGTTTCGAGCTCCCCTCCATAATTAAGAGCCTAGGATCGGACCAAACTACCATGGTAGCTTATCATACTGGGCGGATGAAAGCAGATAAATGAATGAATTTGTTCTTTTTCACTGCCATTTTAGATAGCCTGAAACACCCTATTCTGAGCCGAATACTTATCACATCTTAATCAAATGTGTCTGCTGTTCCTTAGGCGATCCCCCTGGCTGCACCGGCGAAACCTACTAACACTTTAGGTAAGATTATCAACCAACTACCTCAAGGAATGCTTTTCATCCATTTTGGTGGTTTGAAAACAACGGCCCTAAACGGTGTATTCCCTTATTCCACCAGCGCTGCGAGCTGACCCATCCAAATGCGTCAAGGAGATCGTTGAGACGCTTTACTCGGATGTGCCCGGGTGGGTATTGATCTGCCTGAAAGTGGCGCAGGATAACCCGTCGCTGTCGTTCTTCATCGAGTTCCCCATCTGCGCCAGCCTCGTTGGAGGCGCAGACTTTGTGCGAGTGGCTCTGGATGTTGCGAAGAGGTGTCACTGAAAACTGACCGCCTAAACTCCATAGGTGCATCTGCCCATCTTCGCTTCTCTCGCGTTGTCTTTCTATTAACTGCAAAATATACTTTTACACCATTAGACCGGCTTTCATTTTCTTTTTACGTGCGTATGATTGGCCAAATGACAACGTACGGCTCACATCACACGAGCTTCGGCTGTTTTAGCTACAAAGAATACGCTCTATACAGTATCGAACCGTACAAAAAAAGGGGCTTACGCATGTCTCTAGGATGTCTCTTTAAAAGACATCGTCCAGACTCCGCCAAGGCTATCGCAAACCACACCTGAGCCTGTGCGGGGGCAACTCAGAGACACTTGGAGTGGCTAAAGCGAGAATGCGGACACCGAGAAGAGTATCGATAGTCATTATAGGGACTTCCCGGAGACAACGTAGAGACTACGAGGAGACTTCGTGAAGACATCCACACTGTAAAAAAAATAAGCGATTTTACATAAAAAGCATGTAAAACTTTACATAACATGTATGTAAAATTACAAGCACTGGCATTTTTACGACTTGTTTTGTTGTAAATTTACAACCAATGTAATTTTACAGAAATCTTATGGTAAATTCAACAAATTCAAGAAATTTTACAGAAGTCTTGTGGTAAATTTAACATAATCATGTAATTTTCCCATTGAAGTGAGGTAAATTTACAAGACTTGGTAAGATTGTTACTGAAACTGTGTAAACATTTTCTAGACCTTAGGTAATTTTACAGAAAAACTGTAAATTTGCCCCAGAATATATGGAATTTAACGGGGCAGAGGTAACTCGACATTTTTGTCTGAAGTTTAATGGACGGCAAGGCAGGGATACAATGACACTGCCAGGAGTATACCGCTTGTAGTTTAACTTGTACAACTTGTTTGGGTTGACGCGTAAAGATCAGTGGCAAAGCAGCAGGGCGTGGGGTGAAATGAAAACATCCAGGTGGGACATAAGGTCGGAAAATCCCTCATCGCCCCTGCAGTGCAGACACACAGACACACACACAGACGGACAGAGAAACAGACAGAAAGACGCGAAACGTTTTGATTATCACTGGCTTTTTTAATCGCTCGGCTGACAATAATCCTCGGTACACCGCTCAGATCAGTTGGCGACCTTTCGCACCAAACCACTCGACTCCCTTGTCGTGGGCACGTGCTTGAGTACATGAGGTGATGGTGTAGGCGGCCACTTAGCAAAAGGAGCCAGTTTAAGTTGACACATAAAACCAACGAGTGTTTTCAATCACATTCACACCACACAGTCATCTATCTGATCCACCACACTGTTAACAAAAACTGAAAACTTGACAACTTTTTTTAGACAAGGCTGTCTAAAACCAATTTTCATACTAATTCGTCAAAATTCTAATACTCTGAAAGTGCATAAAGTGCAGCTTGTCTAAACCAGAAAGGAGACTTAGTTCCTTTAGACCATCAATTCTGAATATCCGGAGTATCGATTCTATGATAAAGGTAAAAGGAATTTCAGAATAGACATGAATATGCGAAGCTTAAATATTCAGTCAAAGAACTGACCTTATCCTTTTTTAGAAACTCGCATGGCGAATGGCGATCAGGGCAATTCTAGGCGTTACGCACGGACATTTTTCAGCAAAAATCACTCGTTTATTCTAGTTTTGGAAGGGAAGATCGAAGCAAATTGCATCGACCAAAGGCTTGCTTTAAAATGCATTTGGAGAGCTATCCGATGATATGTGCACGGTTGCTCTGCGATGACCCATTTAGATTTTATAAATAAGTGAAGAAGCCGTTACGCACGGAGAAATACCGGCGTTTTTTGTAAAGTATGTATGTAAAGTTCCGTCCACATGTCCAGTGGTTAAAGAGCCTGGGTTTTGATTCTGTTGTTTTTTAGCCCGCCCTTCTGCTTTGAAAAAGCTATCTAGCGGGCTTATGCAAACGACCTCGTGCCTGTGTGTCAATCTGTCTGTCTGTTCCACTAGAAGGCGATGTGTTAGAGGGTGTTTGGAAACTGACCGCCGCCGGAACTGTCCTTGGACCGGACCGCACAGAACTAGCGCCATCTCCCGGCCGTGAAGTAAAACTACGTCGCCAGCCGAAGGGGGCCGGTCCCTAAGTCGACTTATTTTAGCAAATGCGGTATACTTTTGGGCGGGAAGACGAGAATCATAGCAAGGTCCTGATTTCTGTGTTTAAGGCGCGTTGTTGGAAGTTCTACCTTCGGATAGTCAAATTGGAAGAAGGATGACAAATTTGCGCGTTGAGTTGTTAGTAACAACACTATTTAAGAAAGGCAGTAAATATTTGTAAGGAGTGACTATGCTTTGAAGTGCCGATGTTTAAATTTTCCCGTAATTGATTTAATTTTAAACGCAAGGTAAGGCGTAAGTTGCGTTTTTGTCTCGAATCACCAGTGTTCCAATTCTTGCGAATTATTTTATGAAACAGTTCACTGATAATCTGACTAAAGGACGAATGTCCATCATAGGATGTTTTGCAGGAGGGCAAAAACAAAGTTAGTTTTTAGTCTCAAAGATAGACATTTAATCCAAATTGTGCACATGTTTCTCTATTTTATTCCTTTTTAATAATCCCACATGATAAAAAAAAAAAGGAGAGCTCTAGTTTTAATATTAAGAGAGATAGATGGACATTCGCCATTCCAAGCACACAGTGTGAGATGACTAAAAGACGAAAGTCCTGGGATAGTCCTGCAGACAGACGAATGTCCACAAGAGATACCAACACAATGGCGAATGTCCACAAGACATTCTGACACAATGGAGAATGTCCACAAGACATTCTGACACAATGGCGAATGTCCACAAGAGATTCTGACACAATGGCGAATGTCCACAAGAGATTCCAACACAATGGCGA